TACATACTACACCTATCCTTCCTAACTTGTGTTTCCTCGTGTTATGTCTTAGCAATCAATGGGTATTCCAAATAAAACATGCACAACTTTCCCGGCACTACTTCAATGTTTATGCCTAGAATTGATTTTTTAAAGGTGGTTTCAATGCATTAAGTATCTTCAGAAATCTTAAAAGGGTGGCAGTTTCAAACAAACAAAAAAAAACTAGTAAATATGCAGGAACCCACAACTATCAGTGTGTAGGTCTTTTTCATTTTTATACTTCATTTAGAACTCTTCATCTTCTCGTTCATTGGGTATTTAAGTTTGGATCCTTGGACTGTGATAAGAATAATCGAGAAATTGCCTCAATCCGTGGTGTTAACTATCCATGTTGGTCACAAGTCTACAGCTTGTTCAGAGAATAAAACTACATGCCTTTGAACCAGGATAACAAGCAAAAAGTCATTAGATAATGCAGATGACAAAATAAAAGAATCAAACATGAAGAATCTCAGTGTCTCACTTCTATACAGACTTAAAATTTTATTTTTCCTGTTTCATCTGTACCATGATATGCAAACAAAGTCTTGTCCCCCTAGTTATTTAGGCTTAAAAGAGGTGGAGTTGTTTTGTCTTCTGTTTTGTTTTTGACAATATTATTTCCCCTCCTTCCCTTCCTACCACCCTCCTACCTTCACCCTCTCCCCATCCCCTACCCACTCCTCAGAGAGAGTGAGGCCTCCCATGGGGAGTCAACAAAGTCTATCACATCACTTGGCAAGACCAAGTCCCTCCCCCCTTGTATCTAGGCTGAGTAGCATATACCTCCATGGGCAATGGGCTCCAAAGGACTAAATCATGCACTAGGGATAAATACTGGTTCCACTGCTAATGTTCCCACAAACTGTCCATGCCACATTTAGAAGGCCTAATTCGGTCTTATGCTGGTTCCTCAGCTGTCAGTGTGGGGTCATTGAGCTCCCACTAGCTCGAGTCAGCTGTTTCTGTGGGTATCTCCATCATGGTCTTGGTCCCTTTGAAGAGCTGGTCTCTTAACAGCTGTCTTCTTTTTACTCTATCTCAGACATCATTCCTACAAGGTGTGTGTGCATGTGTGTGTTTTAGAAGTTGCCATGCATATTACATAAAGCGGTCATTTTCCTAGTGATGGCATCATACACTGACACATTGTACCTGCCATATTTCCTTTTGCTATCGATACCTTTCTGAGATTTTCTGTTTGTGGAGGTTTGTTATATACCTGATTTGTATTTGGTGACCTTTTTCTTTGTTTTGTCAAAATTAAAAGTAAGATGCTTACAAAATTCATATAGTAGTACTACTTTATCTAGCAAATATCTCTTGTATATCAAATCTATAAAAGATGGTTTTATGTAGCAGTGAAATTGTGAATGTTTTATGTTTTTTAGCGATTCCATAATTGATTTAGTTCTTTCCTTATAGTAGAGGCTAAAATTATGTAATACAGGAGGATGTACCTTCTAGATTTTCTGCCATTTCTCTGTATTTTTCTCTTAGGTCAGGCAAAGTTATTGTAAGTATGCTGGGCATAGAATTGCATTCCTTGTTCCAGCTACAGAGACCGAAACAAGAGGATTCTTTGATCTGAATTCACTATCATCTTTGACAATATAGTGATTCTTCTCCCTATCCCTCCCTCCCCTGCCACAATTTTATAAGAGATTTGAGTGGAGACTGGTATTTGGGAGCCATTCTGATATCAATCCCCAGTGATACTCAGATGACTTACTCCTTATCTGAACTACTTACCTTGGTCCCTCTGGTGGACAGCAAACCATATTTTCTATCATTTGCATCTAATTGGATTCCAGCATGCTCTCTATATTTCTCCATCACTGCTATAACTACCCTATCCAAGCTGTCATCCTTTTTCACATGAGCTGTAGAGTCAGGCTGTTACTGATTTCCTCTTTCAACTTTTGTCCTTGCTAACATGTGGTTGGTTGGTTGGTTGGTTGGTTGGTTGGTTGGTTGGTTGGTTGGTTGACAGGGTGTTGCTGTATGACTCAGACTGGCCTTAAACTCTCAAGTCTCCTTCCTTGGCCTCCTGAGTGCTAGGATTATAGGCATATGCCATTTTTTTCTTGATTTTTATGAAGGCATTATAAGGAATATAATCTCCTTTCAGGTTCCTTTTTATCACTTCTACAGTCTAAGTTTGAGAATTATGGAATCATGATAAAAAGAACTATCTCCACTTGGTAGATAACATTTTATAAGGCTGAATTAGGAACATCTGCCCCAAACCAGCTCTTCTGGAAATTTACAGTATACCTCTTTCTTCTAATGGAAAAGTACAGCAAATCTTCTGTACAAGCCTAGCCTATTCAGTGGATCTTAGAGCGTATAGATTATAGTAACCTTAACCTTACATGTTCCACTTGTTGTACCTTCCTAGAGAGTCAAATTTAGATAAAAGGAAATCATTATATTCTAGAAAGCTTCTTTGAAATGAAATGTCATACCTTATGTGTTGTTAAGTTTTTGCTAAGTGGGGTCATAACCTTGTGTATAGTTACAGTGTGTTGAATTTTTGTGGAATTGTTTGAATATTGATTTTGCTTCCACTGTCTTCTAAACCTTCCTTATCAGGTATTCTACCTGGGCAATCTTAAATTGACCATCTACCCTCTCACTATTTTATCTAAATAAATAAATTGAAAACTGATAAGAAAAGCTCGGTCATATACATTTTGTATATTTGTAGGATGTTTGCCACGCCAAGCACAACAATCAGTATAATTACCTATTTACTATACCAGCATGTCTCTCCTCCAACTCAGCATTTCATAGTGCAAAATTATAGCTAAAGATATATCATTATGAAGTAGTTATTTCTTTCTCTAACCGGTTACTGTTCTGGACATATATTGTTCAATGTTAAGTCTATGTTTAGATTATCCCAGAAGACAGGTGGCTGTCTTTTCAGTATCTTATGGAAGATTTTCATTTTATATACTACTTGCTGTAGGAAAAAAAGTAGTTCTCCATTATATTCAATTGCCAGATTACCACTCCAAAGATTATTCCTGTTAGATATATAGAAGAAAAGTAGTGACTATGGCTGTCACCACCCTCTTGAAATTTTCTGTACCATTTTTCTAAGTTTGTATATTACTATGCTTACATGACAAGTAACACATTTATGTTCTTATTTCAACAATTAATTTATTTGTTAATATTAATTATTTGTTATAATTATTAATAATTTATATATTAATTTATGATCAATCTTGATAAACTATATCTATCATTTGAAAGGAATTATTTGAAATGTATTGTTTTGGATATAACTATGAATTGATTATTGATAGAGTATTGGAAAATAAACTACCCCCTTGTTAAAATTGTAACTCTTTAATTTGAAGCACTTTTTTATTTGCAGAGCTTTTCATTGAACCCTAAATGTTTCTAGCATCTAATCCTAGAAAATCCTTTTTCTACACAATGATGCTGTCTCCACTTTTCAACCAGATACTAATGTGTGCACTACTTAAAATGAGTTGCCCAAGGTCACTCACTGGGTCTTTGGTAAAATCAGAAATAGAATTTAAGTCTCCTGACTCCCAACTCAGTCCTCTCTCCTCAGTATAGTTTTCTGTCTTCTAAACCCCTGTGTCTCTCACGGGAAAAGAAGTTAATCTTCTAGCTATTATTAGCCACCAAACTGGTGGTAGCAGCAGAGTGGAGAAGAGTGACTCTTTACACTGCAGCATTAGTATAAAAATATCTGGTAATGGAAAATTTGACAAATGTCATGTTAAAGGCAGTGGAAAATTATTTTAAGATCTAGATCTCATTTATCTAGTTCTCAGAAAAGTCAAATTCCTTAGTAGAATGGAGATCATTATTTCTTCCTGTTTTTAAATTGTGTTTCCCAGAGGGTAATTGTCAACTATCATAATAAGAATAATGCACATACATCTGGTAATTGCCATACGTGTATTTTTAACTGAGCAGGAGATGTGAATTGCCTTACTGAAATACATAGGTGCTTCTACCTGCATTTAAGTAGTATTAACTAATAAAGCAAATGTAACATCAATTGGGAGCTTTTCTGTCTGATTTTAAAAATCCATGGAAATAACACATAATTTTCTACAAGAAGTTATACTAAGCTCATATACTTCATGTCAGGTCTCTTGAAGGTCATAGCAATGAAGCAGGCAGAATATTAAATGTAAGATAATATATTAGAATTTATGAATTATACTGTTATATTCTGTTATTATTTTGGACATTAATGTAAGACATTTAATAAACATTTGTATACTTAAATGGTGAGAGCATTTCTAGGACTCTGAGAATTCACTTTAAGTTTTACCAGAACAATTTGCTTTCTTAATTTTGGATCAAGCACTAAAAATTACCTTAGTGTGTTTCCATTAAAGATTGCTAAAGGTTTGAATTAGAAGGAAGGATTGTACAGTCACAGCTGTTCTAGTTGTAAGTATTTTTAAAACATAGACTTCATGGAGGTGCTGACAAATAGAAAGGAAAAATGAGGTTTTCTTGAGGATTGCTTTCTTGTTTATCTAGAAAATACAGCCACTTACTCCTATTAAGCAGGTGTTATTTGATAGTTGGATAAGTATTGATATATGTAACTACAAACAGGAAATATTTTCTTAACCCTATGACAAACATGAATGCTGGAAATTGCTTGTGAGTTGTCGGAAGTGGTTGGAAATTTGATTTTTTGATTGCTCAGTACTTAAAGATGGCTATACCTATGTAGCTATACATATGTATCTATTGACAGTAAGAATTTATACTCTTAAATGTATTCATTAAATTTACTATTAAAGTTGTTAATGAATAACCTTATTCCTTTACTATGTAGTTATTCTCTTTCAGATTTCTAACAAATGGTACATACATTACTAGTGATTTTATTTTCTTAATTATTTCAATTTGGGAAATAACTATTGAGGCGACATTGTTGAACTTTTTAATTTTATAATTTTATTGAACAGGCACATCCTCAAGTGAACCTAATTTGTTTGATACTACTCCACAAAAAAGAACCAGAAGAAAATTATTGTCTTCCTCCTCGAAAGTAAAACATACTCAGAAGTCTCCACTGTCTGAAAGTTCACAGCTCAATGATTCTTTTAGCAAGGAACTTCAGCCTATTGTTTACACCCCAGAGGACTGCAGAAAATCTCTTCAAAACCCATCTCCAGCCTTAGTAAGACATTTGTCACATACCACAAGCATAGCCAATGATAATTCTTTGAAAATACCATGTGAAGTAGATTCTCCTCTCAATGGGAGAACAGAGTATAAACAGAATGCAGACTCTTCATTAACTATATGTGATGATATCAGGAGCCTGAAGAATAACTTGCCTGAACCAGAATCACTACCAAACAGCAAAAGCAGTTTACCCAGGTACAAAAACAGAATACTTTACAATTATTTTTTTTCCCCAAGCCTTTGAAACTGTTAATGTCCTTCCTCTTCTTTGTTTATATTGGAAGTTTATTTCATAGAACAAGTATTCTCCCCTTGGTATAAAAGTTGCTCATTTACTACTGATAAATTGAGTATGGGTATACTAACCACTTTTTTAAATCATAAATTTGATATCCTATGTCTATTGACCTTAAACTAGAAGAGACCTTAAGATAAATTTCATCTGTGTTCCTTTACTGATGCTGTGTGGCCTAAGCCATCAGTGAAGGACTCGCATGCTTACTATTAGTCATCAATGCCTCACTTTTAAGGAATATACAGAATTCAGTGTAGCCCAATATCCAATGTGTGATTGACTGAATGTCATCTAAGCAAGCATTCGACTGCATAATTACATCCATCCAATCTAAACATGGGAGGAAAAATACCTGTACGTTTTTGTTCCTGTGAGAAATACAGAAATGTTTGACATCATCACTGGTATTTAAAATAGAAAATTCAATTGAGGGAACTTTTTATATAGAGGAATATCTTTCTATATGTATTAATATCAATAATTTCCTGATTATAAAAATGTAAATCAGTTTTCTCTGTGTAAATCGAACCTATTCTCTTCTAGTTCTTCGTTGTTAATGTCCAGGCATGAATCTTCCTTATTTTCAATTAAGGAGTCTAGGCCTGTATCAACAAGTGTGCCATCCTACATGGCTATGACTGCTGCTGCCAAGAGGAAAAGGAAGTTAACAAGGTATGATGAAGCACGAACTGTTTCAGTCTTTATAGAAGATCATCTTTACACTTTCAGTTACCACAACTCTCAATTATTCTTAGACTCTCAATTTTTATTTAATCGTATCTAGGCTAAGTAAGTGCTCATGAAGCCCTGGATCTATGTTACTAAAGGGAAATATGAGTGAAGCCCGAATATGATTTCACCTGAAGTTTATACGAAGTATCCCATTGTTAGGTTACTAAAAATGATTTGAAAAGTCCTCAAGCTTCCAATCTGTCACTTAACTCTTACTTTTCTTCTGACGACAATTGTTTACGTGTTTGCATATTTATCCTGGATTTCTTTGCTCCTAGAGTTCAGTTGTTTTAGTGGATTTTGATGCATACCAAATATAATGTATAGCGAGAAGTCTGCTATCTGTGACCATGACATTGTAACTTATATCAGACCAAGCCACCAAGAAAGAATAATTAAAATTGTTTTTGAATTATAGCAGCTAAATAAAATACAACTAACAGCTTATTAAAAGTTGTATTAAAAAATATAGCTAAGAGCTTATTATAAAAACAATCGTGGTAACCAGGACTTTAGAATGTAACATCCAAGAAAGCAACATGCTACAGAAACCAGGCTTTATAGGACTTGCCAGTTCATGATATAAGGCTGGAGGCCAAATGAAAGATGCTTTAAGTCATTCACAGTTCTCACTGAGCTAGGGTTGTTCTGTGTGGCCATTTCTTTTAAGGCTTGCCTTCTAAGTGCTGTTGAGAACCCAGCTGAAAGTAGCTGCTGAAAGACCACTGTGTTAAGCAGAGCTTGACATTCAGGGATACAAAGGTTCAGGATCAAAAACTATGGAGGGGGCCTTTTAAACACTTCAGGATTTTATTTGAAATTATCAAGGTGTTGTGCCCTAGGGATAGGATAAACTAGAAACAAATGAATTCTGAAAAACATAAAAGAAATCTTGGACCAACTCAGTCTTTGCTTAAATTCTTGTAATTTTTCTAATTCCATATTCTTCCAAACTAAAATTTAAAATCACTAGAGCATGCTCTCTGGAACCTTTGCAGATATCCATACATGATTTTAAAACAAAATTATGAGGCGAAATTTTTTTTCAACAACTAAGAAAATAAATAAATAAATAATATTTTTAAAAAAGGAATAGAGTTATAAAAAATTATAATAAACCATATAAAATGGAAAATAAAAAAATATGGAATGTCAGGACACATAACCAAAAGACTTAAAGAAGGAAAAGCAAGCAGAGAAGCAATGATCCATTGATAATAAGGATGAACAAATAGGAACTATTGATTGTAAGCATGATTCATTTCAGCAGATTAGCTAAGGTGTAAGATTCACCAAATATTCTGTTAAAATTAATCAAATAGATATCCTAGAACCACAAAGATGGGGTTTTACTGCAATTCATAGCTCAACCAACCAGTTTAATGGATTAGTCACAACAAAAGAGAATATTAATGAGCTGGAGGGTAGATGCATAGAAAAATGCTTAAACTAATAAAGGAAGAAGCAAAGAAAACAGGAGCATGGAGATATACAAAACCCTACATTTTTAAACCTGGAAAGTGTGTTTTCAGTCTCCTAAAGAAAAGAAAAAATAGAGAAAAACAGTATTTGATAAGATACTGGCTAAGAGATTTTAAAATGGACAAAGGCCCTTAAATCACCAGTTTGAAAAAGTACTACAAACCACACACATGTTAACAACAATAGCCTAAGTTGTATGGTGTATCATGGGTACGATAACGAAACATACTAAATATGAAATGATCTAATTTTTTTCCACCCCTTTTTCTTTCCAATAGTATATAGAGAAAAGTATAACAGCTAAAGTTAATTCTTCTAAATTTCTTATTTAGGCCACAGGACACAAATTTACAAATAGCATAGTTATTCACACTTCCGAAGTATTTTCTCATAAGTGTGTTTAGAATCTTCTTTTACTCTTCTAAAATATGGGACAAAAGAGCCTTGAAGCATATAGATGAATTGATTCTTTTTGACTGTATGTGTCTCTCTGTGGCACTTAAACAGTGGTACAGTAGTAGTCCCCTCAACTCATACTTTTGCTCTGCTTCAGAAGCCAACAGTAAAACAAGATTTGAAAATATTAAAAGTTCCAGAAATTAACAATTTGAATCTTATTTCATATCATCTAAGTAGTATATCTCAGCAATACCTTGTCCAGTGTATCCATGGCATATGAGCTACCTGCTTAGTAGCCATGTTTAGAACTGCCATGGAATAAGCAGAGGTTGGTTTCAGAAACACTTCCTTTACAAAATCATTTCCCATGCACAAAAGACAATTAACTGATTCTGGCGGTGGGATGGTCCAACCAGAAGTCATAGCTGCTTCCTTTAAGCAAAAAGTAGAAGTTTATCCTAGGTACATATTTAGGGAGGGGGAAAACAACAAAGTATATTTTAGGTTTAATTCCTTCCTATCGGGACCCCACGCAGTGGCAGTCCTTTAATAGTGCTCTGTTGGCCAACAGGGACTCCCACACTCTGTTCAGTGTCGGTCTGAACTGTGCTGTTACTCTGGCTCACTTGCTTAGACTAACAAACTATGAGCGTCTGTTTCACCACCCATTCCCACTAATTAATATTGTTTTCTGGGTTTTTGCTTGTTCCCATGCTTTTATTAAAATGCTGCAAGTGTTTATACTAAGAATGTTCTCAAAATGTAAACACAGTCATTATCAAATACAAGTTTTCTTGAAATGTCTAGTTGTGTAAATTGTATATTTGTGGGGTTAGATGTGTTAAAGACTAGCACATGAGAAACCAATACTGTGAAATAATATTAAAGAATATAATAAAGAAAGTATCTTGACTATTCACAGACTATCTCTTACTATGCTGTTACATTCCCTCTGGTATCAATAATTAGATCCTGCCATTAACTAAGGTTAAAAGAGATTAATGATAGATGTGTACATAATTACTTTTTCTTAATCTTCTTTTTTTCCCCAATTAAAGATAGATGAGCTTGAAAGTAATAAGCTCTGGTATTTTCCACTTAGTAGATTTCATATACATATTTAGGGGTGTATATGTTCTAATGTGGTTTTAAAATATTAAAATTTTTCCATGTGTACTTTATCTACTGTCAATTTTTTTTATTTAAAAAAAAGAAAATTAGAGTCAAAATCCCTAGAAATTTCAAAAATCTAACAAACTAAATTTTTCTGATGAAATTGTGAGTGAAATTTTAATCCTAACAATATTCTTAATTTTTTCAACTCTTTATCATCAGTGGATTTTTTTACCCCTTGTGATGTCTCTCCACACTGCAAGCAGTGCTCATTCCCCAGGAAATATTCTGCAGAACTGTTACCTGTACCCAGTATAATCCTATCTATCTAAATTATATTGGCATCAGTAAAATTACAGATAACTAGATTTAGTTTTTAAGTATTTTTAGTGCCTCCAATTACTTATGCAGGATTTTACAATTATTATTTCTGTATTTGATTTCTTACTATATAGCATATGAATTAAGAATATTTTTGAATGCCTTAACTAAATGAAAACTTTTCTCCACAAGTTCTACATCAAATGCTTCATTAAAATCTGAAGAAAATCATGGATTCACCAAACGCATTCGACAGGATAATTCAAGTGATAAGCTCTTGCAAGAAAACAGACTGACAGTAGGTATGTTTGTGCTGTTAATCTGATAATTAATTACATGATTTTCTGTCATACATAAAGTACCTTGGTTTTATGTCTTTATAAATCTCTCCCTTTTTATTTTGTGGTAGGATAGGTGTGATTTTTATGCTTTGTAGAAAAGGAAATTTAAGATACATTGTGAAGCATGTATTCAATATTGAACAAATATTAAGGTTTCTGATTGAACCAGATTTCCCAACTTGTTACTCTACCTACTCTTTTTTTTTCTTTTTTTCTTTTTCTTTTTTTATTTTTCATTTATTTATTTATTTATTTATTAAAGATTTCTGTCTCTTCCCCACTGCTGCCTCCCCTTTCCCTCCCCCTCCCCCAATCAAGTCCCTCTCCCTCNAGATTTTATATTTAAATGTGTATATGATATAAAAGTAGAAGGGAGGTTATTCAGAGGTTGGAAAGGGCCAAGGGGAGAAGAGGAAAATAAAAGCAAGCAATAGGTGTAAGAAAGACAAAACAATGCATGTTTTCTCTCATGTGGGGATCTAGGTGTAACAACTATAGCTCTTTTTTTGATTTTCGAGACAGGGTTTCTCTGTAGCTTTTGGTTCCTGTCCTGGAACTATCTCTTGTAGACCAGGCTGGCCTCGAAGTCACAGAGATCCACCTGCCTCTGCCTCCTGAGTGCTGGGATTAAAGGCATGCGCCACCACCGCCCGGCTTCTACCTACCCTTTTTGTTGTATAGACCGCCTCATATTATAGTTACCTAATAGTTGAAATAGTAGCTAAATCAGTTATATATGTGTATTATTTAAATGTTTTTTTTAATTTATTTATTTATTAAAGATTACTGTCTCATCCCCACCGCCGCCTCTCATTTCCCTCCCCCTCCCCCAGTGAAGTCCCCTTCCCTTGTCAGCCCAAAGAGCAATCAGGGTTCCCTGCCCTGTGGGAAGTCCAAGGACCACCCACCTCCATCCAGGTCTAGTAAGGTGAGCATCCAAACTGCCTAGGCTCCCACAAAGCCAGTACGTGCAGTAGGATAAATGTTTTGTTTTTGAGGCAGGGTCTTACTATATAGTACAAGCTAGTTTTGAACTAGTTATTTTCCCGCCTCTGCTTCCCAGTGCTGAGATTAAAGGCATTTGCCACCTAGCCCGTAAACTATACTTTATAAATAAATTAGTCCCGCTTGGAATTTTTCTCTCGGTGCTTGTGTTTTTACATCTGGCCCCTGAATCATTTATGTAGTTAATATACAGTCTCTACTTTGCTCCTAGCTATAATCATATTGTGACTCCCACTGAAAAGTTGACATTAAGATATTAATGAAGGATCCTACATACCCTCCATCATATGTGGGAATGGCATGAATCCATGGGAACATGGGAATAAAAGTCGTTCTGTTTAACTATGAGTGTATTATATCAACCAGTTCTAGACCACAAAGTCCAGACCTGTCTCTGACATTACAATTCCTGTGACTTCCTACAGTACTGATTTATTAAGCATTCTTGTGCTAGGTCCTAGAATGAATATGAAGATTTCTAAAACTGGTTTCTTCTCTAGAGGAACCTATAGCACTTGGAATTTAAAAAAATATCATGAGATATTGCTTATGCCTCTGTATAACATGAAAGCTTTTCTTGTTTTTCCTCAATAACTTTGCCAATTTCTTTAATAACAATTGATACTTGTTTACTTTTTCAATAGATATATCTATTATACAGATTTTTAATATTATACAATAATTTAAAAATATAATGATTAAAGATAATGGAATGCTTGGAGGTTATCAATTCTAATAGAAGATAAATATTCATAAAAAGATGTAATTTATAAGCCGGGCAGTGGTGGCGCAAGCCTTTAATCCTAGCACTCGCAGAGACAAACAGATCTCTGTAAGTTCCAGGCCAGCCTGGTCTACAAGAGCTAGTTCCAGGACAGGCTCCAAAGCTACAGAGAAACCCTGCTTCATAAAGCAAACAAAAAAAAAAAATGTAATATCTAAGCCAAACACATTTTAAAGATTAGTAGAAATAAAAGAAAAGAAAGAAAATACAATTGCTTTTCTTAAATTGCGTTCACCTGAGTTTCTAATAATGTACAAGAGTGTACTGAGTTTCTAATAATGTACAAATGACACGACCAGCAGTGGGGGAAAGGCGAGTATTTTCAAGTGGGCAGTTCTAGAAACAAGAAAACAAGAGCCTCTAAAGCTAAAGCATGTGACTAAGAACATGTATAAACAACTTACTTCTGAAGGAAACATATTGTCTTGGATATTCATGGTTGGGTTTTTGGTCAGGGAATTTAGACATCTGGAATTATGATGTTTGAGGTGTTTCTTTGTATAGATGGCTGGTCTTCTTCTGTTCAGTGGGTATACTGTTCTTTGGTTGCTGTTGGCCACTGTTGATCCTATAAACATGTGCTGGCTGTGGGGAGAATGAATACTTCTGCATCCCAGAGCTGTGTGGTCACTAGGACTCCCTGGTGTTTTTGTGGCTTGGAGGCTAACACAAAGAAAAAGAGGTGGAATAGAAGGGAAGTCTGAGTGGGTCAGGGAGGGAAGCTAAGGAAGCCCTGAGTTTGTACCAAGAGGTGGAAATCTCAGAAAATATATTGTATTTTAAATTGTTTTAGTTAACCATGAATTTCAGGAGTAAATTTTTGTCAACAAAGTGTTATATAAATTGTATAAACGATTAGTTTTGAAAGTTTTATATATATTCATCTTTCTTCTCTAGGTTATAGAAGAATCACCAACAAAATGAATTCAAACATGGTTAGAAAATTTAGAAGAAACGCTTCTAAAGAAAACATACACTAAGAAGTGTCGATGTCCCTGCAAAAATGTACTTGATGTCTCTGAGAGAAGGCCACCTAGAACCGATAACTAAAATATTTTCATCAAACAAAATAAAAACTCCTTTTTTATTTTAAGTAAATATAAAATTACAAGAGGTTATATTTACCATTTCTCAAATATTTGTTACTCTTGAAAATCTCCAAGTGAATATGTCAGTTTAGTTTTACTTTACCTCAGCTCGATTAGCACATTTTAGGGAAAAAAAAGTGACCTAAATTGCCCTTTTTATTTTCAAAAATTAGGAGACTCTAGAAGTCATAAAATTAAGACCAAGATGTATTTGTCTTCTGTTCTCTGTCAATATGTGTTTTATTCATATATGTGATTTTACTTTTGAAAACTTTGGTGCAGAAATTTAGATATAAATTCCCACAGTATTGTAAATATTGTTTAAATACCTGTCACAAATACTAATATTTTATTGCTTAGTACATTAAAGATATAGATTTTAAAGTGTTTGTCTTCCTGCTTTGTTGAAACCACTCATACATAGTAAATGTTATTTTATATATAAGCATGAATTTTGTGAATTTGTTTTTTATACTAGAGCAAGGTAGTGTGTACCCAGACCTAATCTGTAAATAACCTATGCATTTCTTCATAAGGAAGAGTTCTGAGGAAATATTTTAATCATTCTTGTTACTTGGGGATTACTGAGAGCTACAACTTATCTACCTAACCTTATTCGCTTATCTGGTTTGGCCTACTTTTGTGGTCAAAAGTACACATTTTTGCCTAATACACTTATAAGTTTCTGCCTCCACGGAATCTTCACGCCAACCCAAACAACCATACAGCACCTTATAAGATTTCTTAAGGCTTTCACTTAATCAATTTTTGTATTTAAAATGTAATCAAGAAAACATGAGGCAGAATAATCTTCATAGTTCTTCCTGCATTTGTAGGGGTGTAGTCAGAATCTGTCATAGGAAAGGCCCAATAAATTTTCACCATACATTGTGATTAGCTTTTGATTGTGTTGGCTGTTGTAAGAATCATTTTCCCCTATGAGCAAAGAAGTCAGGACCATGAGGGGTGCACCCACCCACGGAGACAGTGGGGCTGATCTATTGTGAGCTCACCAAGGCCAGCTGGACTGCGACTGAAAAAGCATGGGATAAAACCGGACTCTCTGAATATGGTGGACAATGAGGGCTGCTGAGAAGCCAAGGACAATGCCACTGGGTTTTGATCCTACTTCATGTTCTGGCTTTGTGGG